ACCCCAAAGTTATAAATCAAAGTTCAGTGGCACTCAGTATTAGTTATTAAATCACACATTAATTCACCGATTACTGCGAACCGTGTCTCATTAGCAAGGTTACTTAAAATTTACTTTACAAGCTTACTACAGTACTTAACGTGTAGTATGGGTGATAATTAAAATGATTTTTGTGATAAATAAAATGGTATGATTTTTGAGTTAATAACTGATTGTGATTATGAATTATTTTATAATGATTACATAATTCAATATATTTCTAGCACATATAGTATTGTCCTCTACTATTTATCTATAGTTTATTAATTAATGGATTAATTATTATCATTTAAAAATAAAATCTTATATCAGATACACTATTCTCAACATTATTTTATTTTTCTAATATCCGGATTTGTATTTAATAGGATGCTCTCGCACACACTTATCACAATATAACTAATCTATATTTAATTAATCATATGCTATAATATAGCAGCTATATATTAAATTTTAGAAAATTAATCTTTATGCTCCTGTTTATTTAGAATTTCTAAGAAATATCAAGGTGCTTGTGTTATATAATTGTACCAAAAAATGCTAGCACATTATACACATGATTATGTACATCTTAGATTTTAATCATAAGTGTGCTCTAAATGTAATATATTATTTAGTGATTATAATATGAAAAATAAAACACTTAACCAAACACTTGTTCTTTTTAATGTTATCTCTATACATATTTAAATAGATGCAAGGTCCTTATATTAAGGATATTTATGCATATTTTACATGAGTTTAAAAAATCTGGTATATAGTTGTACTATAAAAACCATTAATCAAACTTCAAATACACTATCAGTACATTAATATTAAGTTAAAATAAAATTAATACAAAAAATCATTATATAAATATTACAATTCTTTATATTGCACAATATGCTTTGGAAATATTAACCATAATTTTCAAAAATTAGTCTATTTTTTAAATAAATCAATATAGCTTATAAATAAATTATAAAATCAAATTAAAATTAACTTTGGTCCAAATTATCAATTATCAATAAAGTTATCTCATATAAACTCTTTAATAAGTAGTTACTACCTTATTATATATTAATAGTTTTAATCACCAAACCCCATAATTGATTAATAATTATAACGTTAATCAAATAGATATCCAAACCATTGAAATGCTTTAATTAATAATTAATTGATAATAACTTTACGAAACTATTTATTCCGCAATTACTGTATGTTCAGAAACATTTTATCTCATATTTAGTTACCGTAAGCTTTGATTTTAATACCAGATATAAGTACCTATAAATCCCATTCATTCAACAAATGAAATGCAATCAATCGTCAAAATATTTTCAACAAAACAATTTCTAATAATTTATAATTTTAAGTGTTTATAAATGATTGTAAAGTGAAAAATCAGACAAAAATAAACTAAATCTCAAATTCAATGTATAACCGAAGAGCGAGGAACTCCATATCAGGTAGTCTTACAAACAATGAGAGACTATTCATCGAAAACCTGCAGACAGTCGATGAAACCAAAGAAGACGAGACTAAGAGGAAGTGGTGTAGAAATTGGGATAAATATGTCTACACTTTCTGTATCCTTATTAATTACCTTAATTATGTAAATATAAGTTATTAACAATAAAAATGAAAAATATTAACATGTTACTTTCAAATAATTTAGGGGTTGGCGAGTAGTATGTTCTCCCCAGCTATGGTTGACATGAAGTTCCTGTTCCACTCATCCATGGCTGCTATGGTCTACACAAACACCTTCTTCAGCGGTGGATATCTACTCGGATCACTTTGTATGTGATTTATTAATTTTGTAATTAAATAACTAACTTATTCACTGTAATCTCTAATTTATTATTTGTAGCCGGGTTCTTATATAAATACATAAACCGCCAATTAATGCTCGTATTCATGACTGTCATACTCGCGGTATTCACGATTGTAATTAAATAACTAACTTATTCACTGTAATCTCTAATTTATTATTTGTAGCCGGGTTCTTATATAAATACATAAACCGCCAATTAATGCTCGTATTCATGACTGTCATACTCGCGGTATTCACGGCTCTCATGCCTTTCTGCACCAATATATGGCTGCTATACTTAAGCGTATTCATCAACTCAATCGGTGGCGGGGCCTGGGATAGTGGGAACGCCGTCTGGACCATCGAGATGTGGAAAGACAAATCACCGCCAGTCCTACAATTATCACAAATGATGTACGGATTGGGAAACATATTGTCGCCCCTCATAGCCAAAGACTATCTGTACGGCGATCTCTCCAATGACACCGACTATGAAGACGATTTCAGTGCTATTATACCATACGATTTGGGCCACGAATACCCACACCATTACCCCAAGCATGACCACCACCACCATCCAACTCCAGTCCCTCACAGACACACTACAACACCCTTACCAGATATTAACTACTCGTTTGACAGGCGCCCAAAACTCATCATACCGTTCCTAATAGCCGGGGGAATGACTTTATTCGGTAATATATCCCATAATAGCAATATAAACTATATACTAACCTAGTTGTTGTACACTAATCGCATACCAGTGCCCATCATATGGCTGATTATGTTTGTGGTAAAGAAATACAAAGTCCCGGAAAGTATTGAAGTAATAGATGAGAAACCAGAATCTGTTCAGAAAATAATTACAGAAAAAAGTCAGCCCCTGGAGCCCTCCCGGAGGACTAAATTCATATTAATAGCTTTGGTGGCCATGAGTCTGAACTCCTACTCGGGAATGGAGCAAAGTTTTCTTAATAACAGCTCCACTTACTATCAATACCTACCCATACGACTGTCCGCTCAAGAAGCGGCTGATGTCTTATCTGTAATGACGACCACTTATACTGTCGGACGACTCATATCTGCATTTATAGCCAGCAAATTGAGTCCAGAAGTCATGATAACCTATCACTCAGTTATCATATGTATATCAATGGGAATCTTACAGTTCGGTCAACACTCCGAAACACTCATATGGACCGGAAATGCATTAATTGGTAAAATGACTATGCTCATTATTTTCAATACATTAAATAAATGATTTAAACTTTTATTTAATCCATAGGGTTCGGGTACAGTGCGATGTGGCCCTCATATATTGCATTTAGTGAGAAATACATTAAATTAAACGACAAAATTACATCTATATTTGCTTTTGTTTCAAATACAATACCACTGATAAACCCCTTTATAATCGGACCCCTTATTGAGGAACACCCTCACATTTTCTTGGACCTGGAGTTCCTATACTTAGCCATTACTATACTATTATTTATTCCGTTACTATTTATTGCCAAAAGATCTCAGAGATATCCCGAAGCATATACTGTAAATAAACCTGATAAATGTGTCCACAAGATTTAGCATTAATATAATTTATATATAAATTTTTAAAATATTTCAATTAATAAATTTGTAGATTTTTGTATATAAATTTTTATAATAAATATATTCGTTTATAAACTTATTAACAAATTAATTAAATAAAAAATATTATTATTTAAACCAAACCCTTTATGTTTTAATATTTTTTAATTTATGAATATGTCTAATAGGTTTAATTATATGTTTACTTTAAGTGTATTTCTATTATATTTTGTTTTGATTAAAATAAATTATATACTAATTTATATGAGTTTAAGACAATGTGATTGGCCTTCAGTTGACAACAATAATAGCGATTTCGAGAACTATACTAATGTTATGATTATAACAGACATTCATTTGCGAACTAATAATGTGTGGAATTACACGGAATAATACAGAGGTAATGGCAGATGTATTTGTCATATACTATGGCTGCCCATAGGTTTAGACCTCAAGTCATACTAGTGTTGGGCGACCTCTTTGACAATGGAATCAATTAAGTCAACAAGAGTTTGATTCACTTTTTGTTCAAATTTCATCAAATATTTACTTGTAATGCATTTCACTTGTTTATACTTTATTATTAATATACCTGTACATATAAATTACATAACATAGTTTTGAAATAAAAAATAGCTTATTAATCTTGACAGCCAGACAGTACTGAAATATGTATACTTTTGAAGCACTTGTAACTCAATAATTACAAGACATACCACACACGATAGCTACTGTCTTGTGACACATAAGTGCCGTAAAATATCTATTCATATCTCAATTTAACCGATAATTATATTTAACAAGAAATCTTGCGGCATACCTCATTCATTGGTGATAAAAAATGTTAACTACCTAAAATATATCAGTATAAAACTTACATTAAATGCACGATTGTACAAGTACCGACAACCTGGGGGCACAATTCAACTGAAACACTATAAATTTTTGTTACTTGCGCAAAAAATCATTAAACAATTAAATATTAATATAATCATATCATAAGTTTGGAGTCAATTATTACATAAAAGTACTCATAATTCACATTAGATCACTAAAATAGATAAAATTATTTCAGATTTTATTGTTATTTAATCTTTTTTTAATAAATAAGAGTTGGGCCGTAACTGAAGACACAACACACACTTCAGATAAACCGCTTATGTATGCGATTAACGGAAACTATGACATCGGATGGCACTACGAGATGACCACACATTTGATGATTAATTCAACACCACATCCGTACGCCTACTTCGGATAAATGGACACAACTTTTTGGTCTTTAATACCATTTCAATGGAGTTCCTACTGTGACCTATGCTCGCGAGCGGAACTACAGCTCAAACACATCGCCCATACCTTAAATAGCTGTCCGACCGATAGCACCGGCTATTGTCAAACTGATAATAGACCTGTTGTGCTGACACACTACTCTCTATTCAAAGAGGGTCTACAAAAGTATGACAGTGATTGGGATACCAGGTCTGAGGGTGATCTCAATTGGACACTGGATGTCCAGAAGTGGAACTGTTTCCACGAAAACACCACTCATTTATAAATTACTTATTCAATAGGAATACGATTAGAGATTATGTGAGAATTTAGTAAAAGCATAGGTTTTCATATCTTGGTACATTTGTTTGAAACCATAAGACCGGGACATACATGTAGATCCGTTTAATATTAATGATTTCATTATAAGCTCATTGTTAATAATACAGTATTATTCTATTGAGTACAAAACTATATAAACCTATGAAAATGTAATGATAAAAGTACAGTACTACCGGTATAAGCATGTTCATAACAGTATACCCACGGTATTAATAAATTATTCCAACCTTTTATTTTAATTTTGGATCTTACTTATTAAGTTTGAGTAAAGCTCCATAATTAATTATGTAAATTATTCATAACATTTTAGATATTTTTATAATAAATTAAGTGTTATCTTTACATAGTTTTATAACTAGGACCTTTTAAATACAAATACATATTCAAACGCTGTTTTATTTATCTTTATACTAAAGTTATGAATATAAATTGCTGGCATTTACAATTGATTGAAAAAATAAATTACAGGTACTACTACATTTTGTAGTTAATGTTCACTTTTGGCAGTTCCTTAATGTGATTGTTAAAAATATCAATTTTATACAGTATAATATACAGTATAATATATTATACAGTGCATATTATGCACTAATACTACAGGAATTCATTTCGTGCATAATCTAAGATTTAAAAGGCTTAAGCATTGCTTATATAATCATTATATTGTGTTTCATTTTAATTGATTTGATTTGTTTGCTCAAGCATATAATGATTATTAACGTATTAATAAGCTATTACAGTGTTATCGTAAAAATATGTTTAAATAAATATTAGTTTTCATTGAAGAAATATTAATATTAATAATTGTTTAAAATTTCAATAATCCAAATAATTATTATAAGTTAACATATTAAAATTAATTAAAATGGACAAGGTGGATAGTAAGACAATAAACTATTATTATAGAAATATCCGTGGTTCTATAACTAATAGTCTCACAAATGCCGAGAAAATATTTATTGAAAATCTTAAAAATAAAGTCAATGATAGTAAAAGTGACATTAATAATAATGCCAATAATAAAAGTACAT